ACCTTCATTCTCTAAAACCACAAAACACATATACATGGATTCCACAAAACATATGGAATTTTTAAAAACTTTTGACTCGGATGACGACGTAGAATTCGTCGAGACATTCTTCAACGTTGTGCAATACATTCACGATGAAGAAAGTTCGAATGCTGCTCGTACAAGGGCGGTCGTCAATCATGATCGCCAAGCCGCACACGACTTATTGGTACGTGATTACTTTGCCGATAATTGTCTTTATAATGACGACTCGTTCGAACGTCGTTTCCGTCTGAATAATGCTATATTTTTACGTATTAGTAATGCTTTAGAATCCCGTATGATTTTTTCAAACAAAAACTCAACGCTAGAGGAAGAATAGGTTTTAGTAGTATACAAAAATGTGCAGCTGCTCTTAGGTATTTGGGATACGGTATAACATTTGATGCATCTGACGAATACTTGAAAGTATCCGAGATGACAACAGTTGAATGTGTAGATTGGTTTTCTGCATGTGTTTATGAGGTTTTTCACGAAGAATATTTGCGCAAACCTACTCAACGTGATATTGAGAGATTATATTCGGCTCATGAAGAGAGGCATGGATTTTCGAGTATGCTTGGCAGTCTAGATTGTACGCATGTGGCTTGGGAAAAATGTCCAAATGCATGGCGTGGTCAGTTCACTCGAGGAGATATAGGTGAACCAACTATCATCCTAGAAGCTGTTGCATCTCAAGATTTGTGGATATGGCATGACTTTTTTGGAGTAGCGGGGTCTAACAACGACCTTAATGTTCTTGGTCAGACTCCACTTTTCAACGATATTTGGACCGACAAAGCACCTGATATGACGTTCATGGTGAACGGGCACGCATACAAATACAGTTACTACCTTGGTGATGGGATATACCCGGATTATTCTACATTGATGAAGGCATACTCGGTTCCTCGAAGTGAAAAGGCAAAGTTGTTTACAAAAAAACAGGAATCGGCGAGAAAGGATATCGAGAGGGCATTTGGAGTCCTTAAGCAGACATGACATGTAGTGAAATATGCTACACGACTCTGGGATAAAGAAAGAATTAAACGAATGGTCCTAGCATGCATTATAATGCATAATATGATTATTGAAGATGAAGGTCGAGCGATTTGCACGTATGATCCGAACGACGTTGTCGTTCCAATTGAGGAGTTTGTACCCGGAACGAACGCGTTTTTAGAGCGAGTTGTTGAAATTCATAACAGTGAAACGTGTTTCAATCTTCGAGAAGATGTCGCGGAACATTTGTACCAACGTAGCATGAACGGCGACTAGGTTTTTTATATGTATGTTTGTTTGTTTTTTTTTTTAATTAATGTAATATTTTTTTTTCTAGATTAACTAAGTAATATAGTTTGAAATTGTAATTTTATTTTTATAATTAATGAAAACTAGTTTAAAAAAATGAATGCTTTTTAATTATAAAAAATGTAATTTTATTGTATTTTTGAATTAAAAAAAATAAAAATAATGATATGGAGTGGTGTGTTTGTGGTAGGTATCCCATGTTAGTGGTAGAGGAATGTGGTGTTGATGTGACACCCACCACATATGTGGTATGTGGTGGATATAACGGATGACCTAATACTTGTCATTTTTATGACATTTTTAAAATAAATAATATTCACATGTCAATTTATGGTTTTTTTTTTTTAATTTTTAAAATTAAAAAGTCACTTAATAATTATATTTATATATGTTAAATATTTAAATATAATAAATGCAACAATAAATTACAATAATTATTTTTCTTCTTTCATTCAAAATTTTATTTAAAAAAAATACTTATTATTTACAATTTTTTTTTTTTTTCTAAATCAAACACCTATGAAAGGCAAGCCCTTTGGGACACTAATCTCTTCTTGTCCCTCTGTCACTTTCCCGCACCAACTGTTCTCTGTATTTCGCCTGATTCCACCAAATCGACAGAGAAACGCATAACGATCGATACATCAATTCATTATAATCTTATCTGTGAATTCGGATTCCGATCTTACACAGATCGTCACCAAAGAAATCCCCGACCATCGTTACTGACGAATCATAATTAGATCTAGCGTTGTCGTCGAGGAAGAAATGCGTAGCCGGGGATCCAACAACCGGCTATCTTCTTCTCGTTCGCTGTTTCAATGGCGAATTTCATCTCTCATTTTATCGATGTTTGCCACCATGGCTGCCTTCTTCGTCGCCTGCCGGTAACTCAGCTCTCTCTCTCTCTCTCTCTCTCTCTCTCTCTCTCTCTCTATATATATATATATATATATATATATTATATATATATATATATATATATATGCGTATTGTTCACATTGATTTAGCTTTATTTTGTTTGCGAGCTTGTTTGAGTAATCTTCTTTTTATGTTATAGATTGTGGCAGGAGGCAGAATCTAGGGTTTATCTAGTTAAAGAGCTCGATAGGAGAACTGGTCAGGTGATACTTCCTTAATCAACAGTTTTATAACTACGATTTTACAGATGAAGTTTCGGATTTCGAAGCGTAAGATTCTAAGTATCGGTTAGAGTCATTTTAAGAATGTTATCCCTGTAAGGGCTCCAAGCTGTTCTAATCATATCGAAACACAAGATTTTGGCAAAAAGTTTATTGTTTTCACAGCAATTGTAGGTTAAAATTCTGTTGAATTCATCGAGTCTGAACATTTTATCAATATTTGCTGAATTATAAACACTCAAGTGATACTCTCTTCTGAACATCTTAGACTTCATCTTTTATCCACAGGGGGAGTCTGCCATATCTGTTGATGACACATTAAGAATCATAGACTGCAGGTTAGTATTTCTAGCAGTTTCAAATCTTGCTCATTTACAGAGAAAAATTCTAGTGAACTAAATCATGGCTTGGTTTTTATTCACAGGGAACAACAAAAGAAGTTATCTGTGCTTGAAATGGAGCTAAACAAAGCTAAGAAAGAAGGATTTGTTTCAGAGCATCTAATAGAAACTAAAGACACAAATGAAAAGAAGAAGCTTTTAGCTGTTGTAGGAATTCTTACAGGATTTGGGAGAAGACACAACAGAGATGCAATCCGTAAGGCATGGATGCCTACTGGTAGAATTCCCTTTCCTTTTGTGAGTTCCAAACTACTCGATATAATTCTAAAATATTAATCGATTTAATATTTTAATTTGTAATTCCTAAGATTGGAAAAAAAAAGGAAAAGACATGACTACTTTGTGAGCTATATCAGAACAAATGATTACATGGAAACTTTTCATATACAGGAACAACTCTAAAAAACCTGGAAGACAAAAAGGGCATAATCATACGATTTGTTATAGGCAGAAGGTATTTATCTAATTATCTCTATTAGAAATCAACACCAATTAATAAAAAAAAAATCATTTTTTATCGTATGTAATTTGACATATGTATTGCAGCTTGAATCATGGAGACAATTCAGATAAGGATATTAGCAATGAGAACAAAAAGACGAATGACTTCCTTATTCTTGTATGTTCAAATATCTTCATTAAACTTTTTTTTTTTTTATCTTTTCAATTTTATTTTTCTACAAATAACAAAAAAGTATAATTTTTGTAATGAATGATTCCATTCCATTTCTTTATAACAGAATGATCATGTGGAGACACCTGAAGAGAAGCAAAAAAAAACTAAGTTATTCTTTGTTGATGCATTACAACATTGGGATGCAGAGTTTTATGTGAAAGTCAATGATGACATTTATTTAAATATTGGTACATAGTTTTTAAAAAATCTATTGTAATATTTCTCTTTTTATTTATTTATTTATGTTTATAGCATGAATTTTTCATTTATTCCACAGATGCCCTTGGTGCTATTCTTGCAAGTCATGTAAACAAGCCTCGTGCCTATATTGGGTGTATGAAATCTGGTGGTGTTTTCTCCAACCCGTGAGTTTAGTTTTAAAAAATCTTTTTTTTTTATATTGTTTTTAAAATTATGAATTATATATAAAAATGAAGTTTTATTATTTTTATGGGCTTTGATAATTTTCAGAAGCGACAGATGGTATGAACCAGAGTGGTGGAAATTTGGAGATGGAAAATCGTAAGAAAACATTATGTAGATCAATTTTTCAGTTTATTAATTCAATCCAACGCAACTTTTCAATAGAAAACATTATTAATTTCTAGATTAAAAAAATATTATTGTTAAATTAACGTTTATTTATGCATACAGATATTTCCGACATGCTTCTGGGGAAATATTTGCGATATCACAAGCCTTGGTTCAATTCATCTCAATCAACAAGTTAGCACTTCCTTTTTAACATATACTTTTGTTTGATTTAAATACAATTCATTCAATAAATTTATCCTTATTATTATTATTAGACCAATACTTCGTACATATGCTCATGATGACGTCAGCGCTGGGTCATGGTTCATCGGCCTTGATGTAAAGCATGTTGATGAAAGCAAATTTTGTTGCTCATCTTGGTCTTCAGGTCTTTCATTTCATATTTTCATTCTAACTTAATTTTAGCTTATTGGATTAAGTCATTCCCTTTTTTTTATTTTTCTTGTTTCTTATTCTCGCTAACATTTTTTTAATCTATTTTTCAGGGGCTATATGTGCTGCTTCTTGAGAATTCCTACTCATTATTGTATCGACTTCAGTTATGTTATATTTGAGATTCAAAATCCGGAATTTATGTAAACGGACATCATGATATATTATATTAAATTGAGTAATTTGAGACAAGTTTAATGTTTTTTTTTTCGTTTGTTTGTAGAAGTATTAATTAGAATGGAATTATGAATTGATTACATAAAAACATTTATTCCCATATTTATGTTTATAAAGCGAGTTAGAAAATAGAAACGATAATATGAGTTGGGTGGTTGGAATGTTGGTAAAATTTCACAAGAAATGAGCTTCTAAGTCACAAGAAAGAAAGACATCAGCATTAAAGCAAAAGTTCACATTCACAAATCCATCTTTTTGTATTTTCTATTTATGCTTTCATTTGGGCGGAATATATGTCTTCAAAATCTTTCTTCTTCAGAAGAAAACTATTTTTTTTATATCTTTCTTTATTACTTTACATACTATATTATATATACACTTGAAATGAACAGTTTTTGGTCAGAAGGAGATCAAGATACAAAAGCTCCAGTTAAAATAACAAAAGACAAGAATGGTATTGATCTTGTTACACTTCAGAACCCCATAGGGTTTTCCGTACAGGTTACTTTTTATGTTAGTTTATTTATTTTTTCTATTAAAAAGTATTTTAATTGCCAAAAAAAGTTATAAATTTGTTATGGTTGTTGGTTATTTAGGTGAGTTTGCATGGAGGTCAAGTTCTTTCTTGGAAAAACGAACGTGGTGAAGAACTGTTGTTTAGAAGTAGTAAGGTGACAATAAAAAATATGTAATATTTTATAGTCCTCTATGAAATTAGTCGATGTTGATTTTTTTTATTAATATTTATATGGTATTTTAAACTATATATCTTTTAAATCTATTACGTATTAGGCAAACTGCAAGCCACCCGCAGCGGTGAGAGGTGGAATTCCCATATGCTTTCCGCAGGTATTTTATGGTTTCTATTTATATATTTATTATTTTCTATATTATATTTTTCCTGATCTTTTTAATTATTTTGTTAGCTTTAATTTTCATTACGTAAGTATAAATAGAGAAAAACAGAGTTACATAGGAAAAACAAACTTCTTTTTAGTATTATTTTTAAAATATGTCTTATTCAGTTTTGTGAAGTTATGCAATGTAGAATTAGATGGAAAAGTTGTATAAAAAATGAAATGATGATATTATAGAATTCAATACATTCTTTAGAATAAACACATTCTAAAACCATATTGATATATGTCAATCCATCAAAATATAAACAGTTGGTAAAACCATATGGACTTTTTAATTTATTTACTATTTATTTGCATATTCCTACTCCAAAGTATATAGAAGAATGGAAAAAACACATGGCCAAAAAACTTATTTTGCCATTAAATGTTCGTGTAAAAAACATTAATTTCATCACTAACATATGTTTGAAGTTTGGAAATCGGGGGTCTCTTGAGCAACATGGTTTTGCACGAAACAAGATATGGGAAATCGACAACAATCCTCCTGTGCTCCATCACAATAACTGTAATGGAAACTCTTTTATCGATTTATTGCTCAAACCATCAGAAGAAGATATGAAAATCTGGCCTCATAGGTGACATTTTTTTGCTCCTTTCCAACTATTTTAAACTTTTATATGTAAATAAGTATAGACTAATGTTTTAATACTTTGTTTTTAGTTTCGAATTTCGGCTAAGGGTGTTGTTGACTTCGGATGGGGCTTTAAAGTTAATATCACGCATAAGGAACATCGGTTCCAAGGCATTTAGTTTTTCAATTGCATATCACACGTATTTTTCAGTTTCTGATATTAGTGAAGTAAGGATAGAAGGCTTGGAGACACTTGATTATCTTGATAATTTACACCATAAGGAACGATTTACGGAGCAAGGAGACACTCTCACCTTTGAATCAGAGGTTAAACTCTAATTATTTATGGAGTAAATTACATGACTGGTCCCTATGGTTTGGGGTAATTTGCACGTTTGGTCCTTAACTTATTTTTTTAACTCAGAAGGTCCCTACTGTTTGTTTTTGTTGCGCGCTTGGTCCCTGTCTTATCTAAAAAGACTATTTTTCCTTTGATTTTTTAATTTATTTAAATAAACACACCCACAACCTCATTTCCATCTCACCTCACATTACCTTACCTACCCACCTTATTTAAATAAATTAAAAAATCAACGGCAAAATAGTCTTTTTAGGTAAGACAGGGATCAAACGCGCAACAAAAATAAACTATAGGGACCTTCCGAGTTAAAAAATAAAGTTATGGACCAAACATGCAAATTATCCAAACCATAGAGACCATTCGTATAATTTACTCAATTATTTATGTATCGATAAAACATCCATGAAAACACAAAGTCTTTTAATTCTTTTCGATGCCACATCATAGTTATATTACTAAAGCATTACAAATACTTATATAAAAGAACTTTTATATATAGTTTTCATAGTCTCACAATAATAATCATATAAATATATATGTAGTAGATAAATGAATAGAATAATGTTAACTTGTCAAAAACTCTAACTTTACCAATAACTTATCCTTTAACTTTTTCAAAACTTAAAAAAGTATTATTATTATTATTATTATTATTATTATTTTGAAAAGCTTTCACAGAAATTTATATTTTGGATGTTAAAAAAGAAAAAATTAGAAAACTAAAAAATAAAAGGAAAAGACATGAAAGCAAGGATTTGACACGTGCCGACCAATCACTGACAAACAGGTTCATTTGGTTTTTATTAAAATTAATAAAAGTTAAAAATCACATTTTTCTTTCACATAAAAAATCAAAATACATCAAAATTGAATAAAAACTAGTATTGACATATTTATAGATCAAATCATAAAATTTGTAATTTGAGTTGATTGGTCTAGTTTGTTTTAGAGAATGAAATATACTTTCATATTTCTTAGTAATTTTAAACACAATAAAAATTATCTATAATTATATTGGTTGGATATTAAGTAACAAAAGTTATAATTAAGATTAAAGTATGTATGTGGATGTTAGAATTGTTTTAGAGGCTATCAAACTAACTATTATCATACAGGTGGATCGTGTCTACATTGGCTCTCCTCATGTAATCGGGGTTTTTGATCATGGAAAGAAACGAACTTTTCTTATACGTAAGGAAGGTCTTCCTGATGCTGGTACAAATACTTTTTATATAGCATTACATTATGTTTGATGAACCATATATGTATTATAACTATCAGCTAACAATTAATTTTTCAATTATTAATTAGTTTTCAGCTACTCTGTCAAACATAACATTTATCATATATCTAATATTATTTAATGACATAATTTTATTGAAACAATGGGTAGTGGTTTGGAACCCATGGGAGAAGAAAGCGAAAACGATAACAGATATGGGAGATGAAGAGTATCGACAAACGATTTGTGTTGATGGTGCTGCGGTTGAGAAGTCAATTACACTGAAACCTGGAGAAGAATGGACAGGTCGTTTAGAGCTCACTGTCCTCCCTTCGATTTAAAAAAACAATAAAAACTTTTAAATAGTAGAACTTTAGAATGGTATGTATTTTCAATTAATTTTTTATTGAATAAAATTTTAGAAACAACTTATTAGATGCTTTAAGTTAATTTACTTTGAAATGATTATAATATACATATACTTATATACACACTTGTATTTTTATATAATAAAAAAACACGTCTTTAATTTATCTATTAACTAAAATATATACAATTAAAAGACACTTCTAAAGCTCATATATATTGTCACTTCTCCTATAGACCATATAATTACAAGCGAAGAGGTTTAATTGAAATGTTGCATTGTATTAATTGAAGATGGCAAAATTTCAAGTCATGTGACTTGGATAATAATTAAAATAGATTAGTTTAATATCAATCGTGTTTATTTGTATACTATCTTTTTGTCCTTTTTTCATTATTTGAAATATTTAACGTATTAAATATGATTAAAAGATATAATATTTAAATAATAATTTTTATTTTTATTATTACCTGAATATCAACTATCAGTATCCATCCATTTTATATTTAGTTAAGTTCAATTACACATGATACATAACACATTAACAATTTAACATGTTATAAATAAAATACAACTTAAATCGAAATTGTTACACCTGATTGTTTGCTCCAAAACATTAACAACTCTTATTTTCACCATCTTTTTTTTTATATATATAAAAATTTCTCAAGTGAATAAAATCGACAAGTCTATAAAAAGAAGCTGTACAACTTTACGATATTACACAAAACATCATCACGTGAAAAAAGTTTGTTGGTATATCTATAATAAAAATGTGCAGTCTATTTATTTATTTATTTATATAAGGACACCATCACATGAAAAAAAATCGTTGAAAATCAGTATGTTTGTGAAAACTACGTGATTGTCATTCCTTTACACAAAAATATGTTCACATTTACAAAATTAAAATATTCATACAAAAGTTGGATTTTTTATTAAGTATGCGGTTATTCTTGTAAAAATTTTGTGTCAAAAATCATTAAAAAGAAATAATCGGAAGCTACTCTTTATCAGAGCCAGGTTTCGATCCTGGGACCTGTGGGTTATGGGCCCACCACGCTTCCGCTGCGCCACTCTGATTATTGATTACATTTTGCGTTTCATTTTATATAGCCTCTAAAACCAAAATAATAAAAGATCGCCTTCTAAAAAAATAGAGATAGGAAACTCAACATTTTATATATGAATTAGTAATTCGTTTTTTTTGTTTATTTCAAATTTTAATGAGTTGGATAGAAAACTTTATTAATGTAATCATTTTGTTTAAAAATATTTTGTTATAATTACAATTATATATACTTTTAATCGTACTGATATGATGCTATCTATAATACGAGTTAGCTATGATTATGCTAAAACTATTTATAATTGTACACATATCCATTTAATAATTAAAGGGTGGATTCCATTAAAAAAAGAAGGGTGGTTGAGAACCAAATTCGGTGGTTTGAGGGTTCAGTTGTCTCCTTGGATAGGGCCCTCCTCTCAAATCACCACCATTCGTGTGGGAATAAAAATCACAAGTTTTATATAATTTAAAAGATGAATTTTACATAAAAATAATATTTTTTTAGTTCACTTTTATCTAAAGAAAAGTAGTTTTAAAATCGATACTTAAAAATAGATATTAAACAATTATACTAAAATGAAAATTTGGGTTATCAAAGAAAATGTAGTTTATGCTCCATTTGGAAGGGAAATTACAAGGTTTTTGCTTCCCTAGCTAGTTTTGCAAGAAACACTACTTTTAATGTTTCACGTGTGGAAGAGCATAAACATGTATGCATTGTGCAAGAACGAGGGTTTTGTTGGTTTTATGTTGAAATATGTAGAGGTTTATGTTGATGTTGGAATTCCCTATAGAACATGTGTGTAATAAGTTTCCAAGCCATTGATTTTAAGGGGATTCGTTCGTTAGTTGTTTAGTGATGTAATCCATGGTAACGTGAATTTGTATTGAAGGATGGATTGGTTTGGGTTAGTTGTTTAGTGATGTACTCCAGAGTAACGTCAATTTGTATTGAAAGATGGATTGGTTTGGCTTGACATTGAGGGAACCCTTTGAAATTCTTGTGTCAAAAATCTTTTACCAAAATGGCTAATAAATGGGGTAATCATATGATGTGATTTGATGAATCTCAAGAAAACAACCTTTACAGTACATATGTATTAAATCTACATGCATGAATTTTCGTATTCGATATAATCAAGGTTGTTGTGGATGGGTGTTCTGAGTTCATTTTATTAGCGTGTACATATGTATGTATTGTATTTAGTATAGACCCATCTCTCTTTGTATGTTGTATAGCTTTTTTATGTAGTCTACTTTGTAAATACTTGGATATATCAATGAAATTAAGGCATCAACCAATTCATTGCGAAACTCCCTGCGTTCTCATGGTATCAGAGCAATCTTTGATACAAAATCTTACATTTTTTTAAATTATGATTCTATCATTTGTTATTTTAAGGATAATGTTCGCAACTTGTGATTTTGTTCGGTCTTTTTAGAGTAAGAGATAAGTTTGTTAAGTACAAACATATGGTTTTGAGTACTTGTGTTTCCTAAATGCATCTTGTGCGGTTGTTTTGATGCTTAACATGTATTCTTATTGCTTGTTAAAAATAAACCTTTGTTATACGGATCAAAATTTGTTTTTGCTTAATGTCAAGATTGTCCTTGAAAAGTTTATTTTTATCATTAATGTTTAATTATGTTTTGTTGGTGATTTGTTATCATCAATGTTATTTAAGGATTCGTAGGATCCACCCTTTTAAGCATCGCGTCTGGAATCCGAGCAACGTTTGGAAATTCATCATCATTGTCAACAACTTCCTTCGGAAAGTGATAAGATTGAAAAGTAACCTTCTCTTCTTCATTTGAAACCAAGATGCCTTCCTTGTTGTAAAAATGTTGCAGAATTAGACTCCAGTACCTAGCACACGAAATGCCATGAACAACATTCGTATGTTCTACTCCTTTTTGGAATTCCTTCCATAGCTGTGTAGAGTAGTCTGCTGGAAGATCATAGTATAAACCAGCCACCATGGCATAAACCTCCATCCTTCCTTTATCTAATCCAACTGTTCTTCCGGTTAAACAAAGCAAAAATATCCCAAACAAAAAATTCCATACTTTTGGAAGACCAGACTTCTTAAAGTCACTTATCTTTGACAATGGGGGCTGATATCCCATTTCATTAAACATATGAATTATTTGGGAGAATTGAAATTCAACAAAAGGAGGTGTATTTGGAATGTCAAGAATCTGACAAAACAGTTTCTTGGAAAGCCTAACCTTTTTGTCATTGATTAGGTGAAAAGTAATCAAATCAGAGGCTTTGTTGTATGTGGCAGTAGATCCTGCTTGAGAAAGCCAGGATACCGGAACAGAAAAGGAATTGAACATTGCTTTGGATAAAACAGAGTGTTTTAAAGAAACAATAAGCATCTGAATTCTTCTGGACATTGAGAAAGTTCACCATCCACATAATAATTGGTAGATTGAATCTTCATAACTGGTGCAGAAGAAGTATCTTCAGTAGAAGGATCGACATGAGCAGTAGTCGTCATTGTTAGGGTTTGAAAAGATGAAGAACAGAGAATTTGGGAAGTTTTGAGTTTTGATCGCGTAAACGTATAAAGTACTCTTGAACCCCCTTTTATATGTAACCCTAAATGATTTGAATTTGAAGCGGGATGCATTTAATGAGATCCGACGTGGCACCTTGAAAATCGGAACTGTACAGCGGAAAGGTAGCCATGCGTCAAAAAGTGTCTGTCACATCACCTAGAAAACCGGGCAGAATACCATACGTCACGTATACACAGCCTGTCATTATCCCCTTAATAGAATTGTAACCGTTAGAACCCTTCGAATGGAGGCAAGGCTCTTTCACTTTTGGGATAAAAAGCAAAGTCATTTGCCAGATGTTCGAAATCATCAGCCTGAGTTGGTATTACTCAGAACCTCAAGGATTTCGTGTGTGTAGTGTGCCAAAGAAAGTTTAGACAAGAAACAACAATTTTTTTTTTTTTTTGAATTTTGTGATGTCAAAAATTTAATTTGACACGAAGGCAGTTAAACCCCGGGCAAAGGTTGCTTCGTTAATCATCAAGAGAGATGATCAACAGCTTGTGTATGTTCCCGTGAATTACAATCGAATACTTTTTGATAAGTATCAAAGGGCTTCTTTTAAGAATGCTTCGTGGGTAGGTTCAAAATTTCGTTACATGTCAACCTAAACATAAGGTGATAAAGTGTAACAGAAATTACTTGTATGACCAGTGTAGTCAGTGACAAGTCGGCTTTGAAAAATTTTAACATGACTAGGACATTCAAATGAAACTCACACGGAAATCATATTCAAAAAAAAAATTTGTATACTGGATCTTGTTGGGTAACAAACATCGTGGTTTTCGAATGCTTGATCAAGACCACTCATTCGAAATGAATATGATTTGGAGTTTCGAACATTGGTACAGAAACAAAAGTTTCGTATATATCTGGAATAATGTTCCCCGTCAATTCCTTAACTTGTAAGATTTTTGGGTTTCACTTCCATCACAGACTCATGATGTCAGATCATAAACACAGAGTTTTTATATATCTAAGTCTCGATGGGTTTGATCAGAGATCTCTCAGATATACGTCTTTGTGTGTGATCGTGTAAGTATGTTTTGGATGAAAAAGATTGGTGTAAGACACGAAAAGTACCTCTGTTATGTTTTGGACCAAACAGGAAACTCTTAACTCATTGTGAGAAGAGTAAGGTAGCTCAGAGACTAATGTGAATATAAGCCTGATTGGGAAGAAATTTTCGTACGAAACATTTCATTAAGGCTTTTGTACACACACATTGAATCATGGAGGCTTTGGACGACATGCAGCAGCATGCTTCTAGGGACAACCTAACTAATTCGAATAATGAGAAACATATCAATTCATACGAAAAATTTTACCTGACCCTAAAACTGCCTGCAATGTCCCCTCTGAATCATCATCATAATCTGC